AGGCCCAAGTGATCCTTCAAAATTGTTTGAACTGAACCAAATGAAATGCCAACCATATCGACAAGGTCTCTAATTGTCAATCGACGATTTTCGAGCACCAATTCCTTGATTTTCTTCACGTGTTGCTCATCAATTGACGTTGATAGTCGTCCGGGGCGTTCCAAGTCATCAGTACGTTCTCTGCCTTGTTTGAAGTCTTTGTACCACTTATAAACATTTTTCTGCGACATAGTCGTTCTCCGAAGGCCCTCTGCAACATTCTGAACGTTTCCGCAGCCGAAATTTTATTCCGCAAACAAAATTTAATGGCACTTCTTTGCTCAGCAAAATCAGACATTGTAAAAATCGCCAAAATCACTTTTAGTCGTGTAGAAAACACAAGCGTAACTATATGACTAATGATGACATTGACATGAAATTTGCCACAGATGTCACTAACAGTAGTACCAACATAAAAATAAAAAAGTTTGCTCGAATCGATTAGCGCGGGAAGTTTAAATTAAAAATTCACCTTACTTTTTGATCACATTAGTAGATCACCGGATACGGGACCTGGACGATTCGGTCAGTGTGCAGAAGATCGCGGAGGCGATAGCCACGCTAGGGGCTTGCGCCAAGGACCTGGTGAAGGTAGGCCCCATTAGGCGGACAGCAGGCGGACTGGGACAGGGCACCGTGTGGATACAATGTCCCATACTGGCGGCAAGGAAAATTACGGCGCAGAGGAGGATAAAGATTGGATGGCTCTCCTACCGGGTAGACGTTCTACAACAGCGAAGGGTGCAGTGCTTCAAGTGCCTAGAGGCCGGACACACAAGTTCCAGATGCAACAGCGGAACGGATAGAAGCCAATGTTGTTATCGATGTGGTCAAGCTGGTCATAAATCCAGCGAGTGCCACCGCCCCTTGTGCAAAGATGCGGGAAGAAAGGCGGTCCATAAAATTGGATCCAGGGGGTGCAACGCGAAATCCGGCAGAAAAGCAAGCGCTGCACCCATAAGGAGAGGAGAGGGGAGCGGCGGGGCGAAACCACCAAGCTCTTCTATCTCGCAGGGCCCCTCTGGGGTACAAAAATCCTCGTTTCCGGAACCGGGGGTAGCAGAGGCCCCGAAGAAGAAGAGGCCACCTCGCATAACATCTACGAGTGCTGGCAGGGGTAGCGAAGAGACCCCGATGGAAATAGGCTTGGAGGAAGCTATAGCTGCGCCTCAATGCCCCTAAAACTGATGCAAGTGAATCTAAACCATGCGGCGGCGGCACAAGATTTGCTGCTGCAAGCTATGGCCGAGGAGATGTGGAATCTGGCAATAATATTGGAACCCTTCAGAGTCCCAGAGCATCCCCACTGGGCTGGGGACACGGAGGGGCTGGCGGTGGTAGTTTGGGCGGAGAGCGAGAACTCGCCCCCCATCCAGATACTGGAACGAGATAGGAGATACGTGGTGGTGAAGTGGGGAAGCACGGTCATAGCGTCGTGCTACGCATCCCCGAATAAGAGTACGGAGTCTTTCGAGAGATACCTCGATGGACTGGAATTGGCGGTGCGAAGAAACATGGGCCCCCCTACGATTGTGGCGGGCGACCTGAACGCCAAAGCAAGAGCCTGGGGATCGGGAATCACAGACGTCAGAGGCGAGTTGCTCCTCGACTGGATGGCAAACTTGGGGCTGTCTGTCATGAATCAGGGCCAGGCGAGCACCTGCGTACGGTGGCAGGGGGAGTCTGTCGTTGACGTGACGTTGGCGACCCCTGCCGCATGCCGTAGAATAGCAGGAAGGCACGTAGACGAAGATCGGTTTACTTATTCGGACCACAGGTACGTAAGATTTGAGTTAGGCCTATCGGGAAGCCGGGAGCGTCAAGAGCGGGTCGTGAGCCGCAAGAACGGCTTTTTTTCATGGGGAAATGCCGTTACGCATCCCCTCACCTTCGGGGGGAGAGTGAGGGGTATGTGGGACTCGGGGTCGTGAAGAATCACGAACTCCCATACCCACTAAAACCCCATGGGAGACCTTCCTGACGCGGTGTTGAGAGAGGGGCGAGGGAGCATTTTATCTTGCCCCCCTCCCGCGTCCTTTCTTGCTGTCTGAAAGCCAAATTGGCTTTTGCGCTCTCGCGCACACCTTCTCGTCCTAACCCGGCCCCGACAGGCAGGGTCTCCGCTGCCTGTCGGGCTACCTTAGGGGGAGATGCTGGGGAGAGCAGCCCCCCGCTGTCCCTCCCCGCCAACTGGCTCCTTGAACCCTACCGGTTCGCGAACCACTTCGTGACCAAATGGTCCCGGCTTTGTCTAGGCGGGTGCGTTTCTGCTCTACCGCCTCCACCACCTCTTTCCGCCTCTTGCGGTTCGGGAGCTGGAGGGGCTGTTTCCCTCCTCCTCTCTCTCTCTCTCTCTCTCCGCCCTTTCTTTGGCGATCATCACTTTTATGGCAAACGTTGCTACGGCGCGCCAAGCGCTTTCTCCACTCACCATTTCTCTTACCAGAGCCGTCGGGGCCAGGTCCTGGCCCACCTCTTCTTGTAGTTCCGCGCGCTCCTCCCTCCAGGCTTCGCAATCCTGGAGGGTGTGCTGCGCGTCATCCACGACACTGCGCCTGCAGTGATGACATCGGGCACTTCGCTCCTTTCCGATCCTCTGCAGATAGGCTCCGAAACAGCCGTGGCCTGTTAATATCTGCGTGAGGTGGAAGGAGAGCTGCCCGTGTCTCCTGTCGATCCAAGCGGGGAACACGGGCCGGATCGCGTCCAGCGTCCGTGCTCCCGCCAGTCTCTCGTCTCTGAGAGACTCCCTCCAGCCCGCCAGGGCCTTAGCTCTCGCCCTGCGTCTCGCCTCCTCCATTCTCGGAGGTTACCTTTCGCCCTGCCTCTGAACGCCCTCCGCCAGTGGTACACCTCGGCGTACATAGCGGCCAGGCTCTCTATCGACGGGATGCCTGCTAGCACGGTTACCGCGCTGAAGGACACCGTCCTGTATGCTCTTGCTATTCTCGAGGCTATGCGCCTCTGGCATGGGTTATACGGTTATTATATTCCTCGTTTCCCTTGGGTCGATATTAAATCGTCCCCTATGATCCCTGATCTGGTAAAATTCCGTGCCCTTACATTTCTTCGTATCCGGGTCATCGTCGTCATTTTCCATGATCTCCGAGCTCGAATTACCCCCCTCTCGCTCCTTCCGCGATCGCTGCGGCTGTTGAGTCCGTAGTGCCAATAGATGACAGCGATGTACTGGACTCTGATCTCACTAGCATCACCAGCGATGTGCTTGGGGTTTGTTGTTCCCACTCTTTCTGCGCAGAACTTGGAGCGCTTGCAGCTTGGTTGTTGTGTAGCCGTTCCAGGACGATTTTCGCCCCCTCCAACTCCTTGTTCCCCATCTCACTCCTCTTCTTCGTCGGTTTTTTTTAGTTTGATAGCGGATTCCATTCCTAGTAAGATTTTAAAGTACGGTTCGCCCATCATAGGAGCCTCACCGCGGTGGGGCATCTTCCCCGTCGTTAAGAAGCCCTATTGACCCACCCGGCAGCCGAGAGGCGGTCTTCGGATGGTCAGTCCTAACTGGGTGCATGATTCTACTGAAAATGTTACGGGATAGGCCCGCGTCAAAAATTATGCTAGAGATTTAACGTCACTATTACCGGCTGCCACCCTACCGACGGACGCTTTACCGGCCCCGGGCTAGACGGTGCCGCGGTTTACCCGCCGCGGCACGGGTATGAGGGGACGCTGACCGGGCGCCCCTCCACGCGTGCGCCTTCCGTCCGCCTTTGACCCCCGGATAAGCTTCGATCAAGTCGGTGGCAGCGGTCCTTCCCACTAGTATGCGTGCCGGCTCACGGGACCTTTGCCTGGCCGAGGCCAGGACTTACAGTTACCCTTATTATCCCGGCAAAGGCCCAGGTACTCGACTTACCACCGACCCCGGTCAGGAGGGAACTATCCCTCCCTTGGTTAGTCTCCGCGGAATCGCCAGCGGACTTCCACCGCATCTCATTCAATTATCACCATTCATACTATGTACCCCATCTACGCGGGGTACGGTGGGCTCTTAGTAAGGCATCCAAGTTGGACCCAAAGCCCCCTCGCCACGACAAAGCGGCCCACCACGAGGGAGACCTGACCTGACCTGACCTGACCAGACCTTGACCTGATTTGACCTTACCTTGTTCTGATCTTGACCTGACCTTGAACTAACCCTGACCTGTCCTTGACCACCTCACCTTAACCAGACATTGACCTGACCATGCCCATCTGACTTTGACCTGACCTTGACGTGACCTTGACCTGATCTTGATCACTTGTCCTTGACCTGACCTTGAACACCTGTCCTTGACCTTACCTTGACCTGACCTTATTTTGGCATTGTCCTGACTTTGACGTTACTTAACGTGACCTTGTCTTAACCTTGACGTTATCTAGACCAGACCTTGGCGGGACCTTGACCCGACCTTGACCCGACCTTGACCTGACTTCTACGTGACCTTGATGTGACCTTGACGTGACCTTGACCTGACCTTGACGTGACTTTGACGTGATCTAGACCAGACCTTGATGGGACCTTGTCGTGTTTTTGACCTGACTTTGACTTTGCCTAGAAAGTGACCTTGACTTGATCTTTGCCTGACCTTGACTTGACCTAATTACCCTGACCTTGGCCTAACCTGGACGTGATATTAGCCTGATCTTATCGTGACCTTAACCTGACCTTAACGTGATCTTGAGCTGACCTTGACCAGACCTTGACGTGACCTTGACTTGACCTTGACCTGACCTCTACGTCACTTTGATGTGACCTTATTTTGACCTGACCTTGTCATGACCTTGCCGTGAACTTGTCCTAAACTTAACCTGACCTTGATGTGACCTTGACGTGACCTTGATCTGACCTTCACGTGTCCTTACATTACTTTGACCTGACCTTGACCTGACCTTGACATGACCTTGACGTGACCTGGTCGTGATCTTGACCTGACCTTGTCCTAACCTTGACGTGATCTTGAACGTGACCTTGACGTGATATTGACCTGACCTAGACGTGACCTTAACCTGACCTTGACGTGACCTTGAGCTAACCTTGACCAGACCTTGACGTGACCTTGACCTGATCTTGACCTGACCTTTACGTGATCTTGATGTGACTTTGACGTGGTCTTAACCTGACTTTGTCATGACCTTGACGTGAACTTGTCCTGACCTTGACCTGATCTTGACGTGACCTAGACGTGATCTTGACCTGACCTTGACGTAACTTTGACCTGACCTTCACGTGACTTTAACGTGACTTTGACCTGACCTTGACATGACCTTGACGTGACCTTGACGTGACCTTGATCTAATCTTGTCTAGACCTTGTCCTGACTTTGACATGACCTTGACGTGACCTTAACGTGACCTTGACCTGACCTGGATCGAACCTTGACGTGACCTTGGCATGAGCTGTACCTGACCTTGACCTGACCTTGGCATGAGCTGTACCTGACCTTGACCTGACCTTAATCTTGACCTGCTTCTCGGTGTGGTTGCAATTGTCTAGAATTGAATATCTCTATGGGCTTCATCCAAGTTCGCCAATTCATACGCGTTCTTCTATATGACATTTCTAATCCGGTATGGCCCATCATACACTAAGTGTATTTTCCTCGTTATGCTTCGGTTTGCGTCCGATCTAAGGTGTAACTTGCACCAAACCAAATCTCCCACTCGGTATTGCGGTGTCGTCGTCTTCTTTTCAAACTGCTAACATCTTTTTTCCGCCGGTCTTTGCAAATTTTTATTAGCCTTTCTTATCCAATTCTCCCTTGTTTTGGCTATTTCCCGGTTTGTTCTCAACGCGGTATGGAGTTCTAAGTCGTTTTCTCTGTGCAATAATTCCGGTACATATCTCTTGCGTGGACAATAGCGTTGCTCACATTCTCCAATTCGAGTATCACCCTACTATAAGTATGATGTCGATTTCTTGCTTACGTTCTGATCACGCGTCCAATCTCCCTCATCACTCGTTCTACTGGGTTATACGGTGTCATCTTTACGATTTCTATTTCTGCTCTTTTTGCAAAATCGTTCCATTTTTTGGTATTGAACTGCCCTTCATTATCTGTCCGCAGCATACCCCTCTCTGGAAAGTACTGGTATGTTCCATAAAATCCCAATGATTCTCTCCAATGTTTGATTAGCCATTGAATATAATTTTGTGTACTTGCTGAATTGGTCCATAATGACCAACAGATATCTATAACTTTCTCTAGTCTTTGGCAATGGCCCAAAAATATTCATCGATATTTTAATACTCGGTACTTACCGGTAATTCATAATACTGCACTCCTTCCGTTGCTTGTGAATAGTATTTTGTCGCCAGACATGTAGGACAGGATGCAACCACATCTCGAGCCACCTTTATTATATCGAACCAATGGAAATATTGCTCCATGAACCCGGTCACATTATCCGTTCCGAAATGTAACAGCAATCTATGCATTTGTTTGGTAACTTTCCAGGTTGCCCGTTTTGGCAAAGCTATGCGATCTCTATCTCCTTCCTCGCATCTCATGCGATATAGTCCTCTCTAACATAGATTTTCTCAGGGTTAACACTTGCTGCTTCTATCAATTGAATATCCTGTTCTTGGGCCTGCTGTATTATCGGTATTTAAGTCCCCATATCGATGTCATCCACTACATCCTGTATCAGAGCTATTCTTAATGTTTGCTCAGTCCCGCTAGTTGTATCCGTCTCTAGTCTTGATTATGCATCCGCTTGACTATTCGTACATCCCTATGATGTATCTCAAGTTTAACTCTTGTTAGAAAGTGAATCAGCGTGCTATCCTGGTGTTAGTGCCGACACATGTTTCCAAAAATTTTAGCGCTTTATGATCCGTATACATCTGTACATGTCTCCTCAGTAACATTGTATGCCACTTTTTGAGTGTCCACACTCAAATTTATGGGCAAATACTCCAATTCTGTTATCATGTAATTTAACTCTGCACTCTTTACACTCCTGCTTGCATATGCCACTATGTATATCCTCTTCACTTTCACGATACCACAGTACATACAGTAGCGCAACTGCCTGTCGGCACCTTTGATGTCAGTGTTGGCCAAAATGGAATGCGCATGCGTGAAATAAGTAAGTTATCTAGCGTTGTCATGATTACCACTTAAACTTTTTTCTCTTTTCATCCTTTTTTTGTTCTGTCCAAACTAGATTTATTCGCACTCCAACAAATGCGTTGGAGTGAATAAGAGCTGTTATAGCGTATTAGAGCATGCGAATAAACCTACTATTACAATGAAATAATGAAAATTAATAAAAATAAATTGTAAATATATTGAAAAATAAAGAGAAAATGTAGAAAAATATTAGGAAAAAATATTAAATTACCTTTAAAACATATATTTATATAGAGAAATATTCAAATATTAAATAATTGTAAATATATGCTACAAAAATGTTTTGAGTTGATATAAAAGAAAATTTATATATATGTATATGTCCAAAAAATAAATTTAAAATATAATAAATAAAAAATTTAATACATTTTATATAGAAAAGATATATTTATATTAAATAATACAATGTATATTAAAATAATTTTGATAATTATGCTGACATATACTATACGTAAGATACAAAGTACTGCATTAAAATATTAAAAGGGAATGTTTTATTAATGAACAAAATGAAGAGATATTTTATTTTTTGTATATTTCCATTTCTTTATTTTATATTTAATATATTCCATGTTTAATATGTAAGTGTGTGAAATTTATGGTGCATGTAACAGCTACACAAGCTTTATTGATCGAAATGGTTGATTTGTTGTCATCCTTGTTATTC